AAGGCAATGGGTGCGCATCCGCTCCTATTTAACACCTGATGCAGCTAAGGTGCTTGTCCATGCTGCTGTATTCCAGTGCTTACGTGTTCCGAACTTGCCCCATTACAGTCTATAATGAATGCAGCTGCGAGGCTCATCTTCCTGTCCGCGCGCACCTCCCACGCCTCACCCGTCTGTCAGTCTCTGCATTGAGTTCCCATAAGATATAGGTCTCGATTTAAAATTCTGATTCTTGCTTTCAAATCTCTACATAATGCTGCTCTGACCTACATATCATCACCAATACACAAATACGTCCAGTCTAGGGCCCTACGCTCTGCCAGAGACCTACGTCTAACCTCTGTTCGTACTCCCACTTCTGATGCTCACCTTAAAGACTTCTCTACAACAGCACCATTACTATGGAATGCCCTTCTCTTCTCTGTTAGACTTTCATTTCCAGTCTCCACTCCAAAAAAAACCCCCGTACTTCTACAGAAAAGTGGATCAAGTATACTGTGAACAGCTTTCCATCCCCGCACCCTGTTAACCGGATTCCTCTTCTGTAACGGTCATCAAAACAAAACACTTAGCCCTCAGTAAATATTTTGTCATGGTCATCAGCAGGTCAGGTAAGAAACTTGCCAGGGTTAACGTTTGGTTCTTTATTGGTAACTTTAGACGTTGTTACACACAATTTAGTATATAGAGGGAGAAGGAACTTATAGAGAGGAAGTCAAGTAAAAAAGGGAGAACAAAGATTTAGGCAATATGCCCTAGACATATTGATATATTTAGATAGTAAGAAAACCTATAGTTGAAAGTATAGGTTTTTAGAGAGACAAGTAAAGGTTTCAGAATTGAAAGTAAAATAGACATTTAGAGAATCACCCCCTTGTTTGAAATGAGCACTGATAATGCAGGTCTATAATTTCCAGGCAAGGATTTTGAACCATTTTAAAATATAGGAATGACATCTGCCTTCCTCCAATCCTCCGGTACCTGAAACAAAAGAATCTTGAAAAATTAAATACAGAGGTTCACTTACCACTTTTGTTCAGCCTGGAAATTTACCATTAATGACACCTCGTTATACTCTATCCTTAAAGGCAGGCCCGGACTGGCCATCGGGCATACCGGGCAAATGCCCGGTGGGCCGCGATGGCCGTGGGGCCGAGGCCGGCAGGGGATCTCCCCGGCCGGCCCCTGCAGGGCCAGCGCTATCCGAGCGCTGGCCGTGCATAGTGCCTCCATGGGCCGGTGGGGAGATCAAAGATCTCCCTCACCGGCCCACAGACAGTGAGATGCGGCCGCGCCGGCTGGTGAGGGAGGGAGGGAGGGAGGACCCGGCGGAGCTCCAACAAGCAGCTCCGCCGGTCCTCTCGCGGGATTCTGAGCGTTGCCGCGGCAACGCTCAGATCTCGCGAGAGTGAACTCTAACCCGCAGGTTAAAGTTCACTCTCACCACTGGACCACCAGGGAAGGCAGCATGGCTCCCAACCCCCCAGGGAGAACTGATCTTCTCCCTCCCCCCCCTCCCAGGATAAAGGTAAGAAGGGAGGGGGGGGATATAATTTTTTTTTTTTTTTATTAGTAAAAAAAATATTTAAATTTAAATAAAAAAATACATTCACACACACAGCACCCCCATACACAGCACCCCCCAGACACACACAGCACCCAGACACAGCACCCCCCAGACACACACAGCACCCAGACACAGCACCCCCCAGACACACACTGCACCCACACACAGCACCCAGACACAGCGCCCCCCAGACAGACACAGCACCCCCCAGACACACACTGCACCCAGACACACAGCACCCAGACACAGCACCCAGACAGACACAGCACCCCCAGACACACACTGCACCCCAGACACAGCACCCCCCAGACACACACAGCCACCCCAGGCAGCACAGCACCCCCCAGACACACTGCACCCAGACACACAGCACCCCAGACACCCGCAGCTGCACCCAGACACAGCACCCCCAGACACACACACTGCACCCAGACACAGCACCACTCCCAGACACACACTGCACCCAGACACAGCACCACTCCCAGACACACACTGCACCCAGACACAGCACCCCAGACACACACTGCACCCAGACACAGGCGCCCCCAGACACACACAGCACCCAGACACAGCCCCCCAGACAGACCACAGCACCCCCCAGACACACACACTGCTGCACCCAGACAGCACCCCAGACACACAGCACCCAGACAGCACCCCCCCAGACACACACTGCACCCAGACACTGCAGCACCCCCAGACACACACTGCACCCAGACACAGCACCCCCCAGACACACACTGCACCCCCAGACACACACAGCACCCAGACAGAGCACCCCAGACACACACTGCACCCCAGACACTGCACCCCCAGACACACACAGCGCACCCAGACACACACAGCACCCCCAGACACACACAGCACCCCCCAGACACACACTGCACCCAGACACACATAGCACCCCCCAGACACACACAGCACCCAGACACAGCACCCCCCAGACACACAGCACCCACACACACAGCGCACCCAGACACACACAGCGCACCCAGACACACACAGCGCCACCCAAACACACAGCACCCAGACACACACAGCACCCTCACTCACACACAGCACACACATATATATATAAAATAACCCTCAGTGAGTTAACAGACAAAGAAAATTAGAAACCTAGAATGTGACAGCAGATAAAAACACCCTCACACACAGCACCCCTCTTACATACACACACTGCGCCCCTCACACATACAATAAGTCAAAATATATATATATATATATATATATATATATATACACACATACATACATACACACACACACACACACACACACACACACACTACAGCACCCCTCACCCTGCACCACTACACACGCCCCAGATACACATTAGATCCCTTACCCTATATGCACTCTTAATCCTCTACACACACACACTGGGTCCTTTACACAGTAGATCTCCTACACACACACACTACATTCCTTGTCAGCAAACACATACAACATTCTCTAAACACACCCTCTCTGCAACCCCTACACACACTACGTCACCTATACACACACACTTCAGCCCGTATGCACACACTCGCTGCATCCCCTATAAAACTATGCCCCTATACACACACTCTCTACAGCCCCTAGCCACACATATTACACCACAAACACAAATTAAATTGACCTATTTATACAATACCACACCACTCTCTACACACACGCAATCCCACAAGCAGGCGCCAAACATATGCACCATGCACTTTCCTGGCCCTTTTGTCCTCTGGTATCCCACTTGTGGAAACACCAGAGACAATTTAAAAGCAAACACAGCACAAGCATGTTATTAAATTTGCTTGCACTGCGCAGAACAAATTCAGGGTCTTTTTCTAATGTCAGAGCTCTTCAGCAGGGCTCTGGGCATTGAACCAACATGCTCACTTTGAGAGGGGGCGTGTTGTCATTAGTGATGACAAAACACACACTCTCTGGCCCCGCCCCTTTCTTAGGGGGCCGCTCTGATTGAAAAATGCCCGGGCCTAATTTTTTTCCCAGTCCGGCCCTGCTTAAAGGGACTCTCCAGTGCCAGGAAACAATCTGCACTGCAGGTCCCCGCTCCCCCCTACCTCCCATCCCTGGTTGCTGAAGGGGTGAAAACCCCTTCAGTGACTTACCAGAGGCAGCAACATGTCCTGTCATGGCAATAATTACACTTGCAGGGTTAAGGGTAGTGGGACTTGGCACCCAGACTACTCCAATGGGCAGAAGTGGTCTGGATGCCTGGAGTGTCCATTTAAGCCAATGTTCTACAAGGACAAGGATATTCATCTAGACCAATTTCTTTTAGTTTGAAGACTAACCTATGATTTATTATATTATTAGTACCTACTTCACCATATTGCTACTATCTCTCCTTTATATCTACTATGCACATTGCACTTTGAGAACGTCCGTGGCAACTACTACAAATCCAAAGACGGGGATTGTACCGTCCAGGTGCTTCACAGCAGAGCTCTGTTATAGCTCATTCAAATGTGAGTGGACTGTACATAGCCATAATTGACTCTTTTTAAGATATAATTTACTGTATTGCACTATTATTTCTCATCTTAATTTTTCTGAGGTTGCGATTGATTGGAATATTCAAGGATATAGGTATGTATTTTCTGCATATATAAATTACTAGGCGCGGTATACGCCTTCTTTCCTGTCTTTCTATTATTCATTTACAAGGTCCCCTGTCTCCCCACACAGTGTATTATAACTGCAGCTATAAGGTTATGGTGTAAGGAGGTCCCCTGTCTCCCCGCACACAGTGTATTATAACTGCAGCTATAAAGTTATGGTGTAAGGAGGTCTCCTGTCTACCTGCACACAGTGTATTATAACTGCAGCTATAAGGTTATGGTGTAAGGAGGTCCCCTGTCTCCCAGCACACAGTGTATTATAACTGCAGCTATAAGGTTATGATGTAAGGAGGTCCCCTGTCTCCCCGCACACAGTGTATTATAACTGTAGCTATAAGGTTATGGTGTAAGGAGGTCCCCTGTCTCCTCGCACACAGTGTATTAGAACTGCAGCTATAAGGTTATGGTGTAAGGAGGTCCCCTGTCTCCCTGCACACAGTGTATTATAACTGCTGCTATAAGTTTATGGTGTAAGGAGGTCCCCTGTCTCCCCGCACACAGTGTATTATAACTGCAGCTATAAGGTTATGGTGTAAGGAGGTCCCCTGTCTCCCCGCACACAGTGTATTATAACTGCAGCTATAAGGTTACAGTGTAGGGAGATCCCCTGTCTCCCCGCACACAGTGTATTATAAATGCAACTGTTTGGTGCTATCAATACGCCATTGCTGTGTGTGATGGCCAGTCTGAACAGTCCATAAAGTATATTCACTTATTTCACAGACATTGACCTTGTGTCAGGTGGCGGGAAGCCTCCTCACTGTTTTTCCAGAAGGTTTGAAGACCTCACATGTTTTTGGGATGAGAAGATGGACAATAAGGGAAGTGGAGAAAGACCGGGACTGCCATATGCCTTCTATTACAAATACACAGAGTAAGTTTAATCGTTGGGTTCATGGTAACATGAATGAATATAAACCAAAAGGTTTAATTGCCGGGGACTGAAATTCAATTTGCAAAATAAAACGTTATGACTATAGTTAGAAGAAGAATATTAAAATTTGTTTAGCATTTTGTAGCACTATTTAGTGGGGGGAAAAAAACCTAATAAATAAAAAACTAATAAATGATAATTCCATAATATTACAACTAAATGTTTTTTAAAAAGGAATCATGGCCGGGTGATATAGTGTGAGAATATTAACCCAGAGTGTAGACAAGGTCTAGAGCAAACCTAGATCCCATTTTACAGCGGAAAATGTTCACATTGTAACAATGAAACTAAGGGCCCAGAAGCTCATTGGCTGGCTATTGTGTAATACGGCCAATCACACACGCAGTCAACCCAACGTATCACATGGACCAGACAAGATGTGGAACTGGAGTTTAGAGGAAGAGTAAGTAGCAGGAATCCTTAGACTGACACTGGAGCATGGACGGAGCCATTAATACAAGAATTCATAACTCAGGGGCAGGGCTTCATATATGCAGGGCACTGGGAATTCCAGGTTTTAGAAATACTGGAATCCATGGAATTAATTCATTAAAGACCAGACTCCAGATTAGAGATCATTAATTTAGATACAAGTTAAAGGTATCTCTGCAAAGAGTTCTGGGTTGTACATAAATGGCCATGATATCTTTAGATGTGGACCAATAATTAATTCTATTAATTTAGGCAAAATTATGAGCTATGGTACTCCAAGTTGGACTAAAGCCAGTCCAGACAATAACAAGGCAACATAGGCAAGGAATCGGGGCTCACAGGATCCGGATGTTAAAGAAAACATGACCAGTGAATGACAAGGACAATGGACTGTACATTCATAGGGAGTCAATATCAGAGGACACAAAGAGTTCTTAGTAACCAATGTCTGACCAGGAGGAGAAGAACCATCAGACTGTAATGTGTATTTACTTATTATGAGATTGAGCTGTAATTGTTGTAATACATTGGGCTAGCAGTACCCTACAGCTTTTTTTTTTTTATTTGGAGATGAATAAGAGATGCAACATGTCTATATATATCCTGTCCCATGTGCAGCTATCCCTACCCTACCAGATGAGTGTCCTCTTATAAAATAACAATATTATCATATAATAAAATAATATAAAATAACAACAGACAAAGGTTCAGTTCTGAAGTAATGTAGGTATGCCATACAATAAACAGACCACGTGATTTCAGCTATCCTGAAACAGAGTTTGATTGTAATAACAGATCTATCCATCTACTTCCACAGCGATGCAGAGAGTGAATGTAATCTCGCCATACAGCCTGGTAACCGCACTCTTTACATCTGCCACTTCCCTGAGGATGATGTACGTCTATTTAACGACCTCAAGGTATCAGTGAGAATTAGAGATACAAACCAGACACTCTACCACCGAACGCTAGAGGTGGAAAAAGTGGGTAAGAAACTCAGAATTTAGTGGAAACCTCAAAATAAAATGTTATCACCAATCATTTCTGAATATAATACTTCAAAACAGAATACTTTCATTCTTAAATCTTCTAACCAATTCTACTGCAGCACAAAATGTAATGATTTCATCAAGCATCTCTCCAATAATCAGTTGGGACAAACATGGTTTTGTCATCCTTATCCTCGCAGTTTAAAGAGTAGTAGTCGATTTTTGTTGCTATTTTTTTTGTTTATATGGCAAGTGATAATCAGATAGAAAAATATACACTTGAAGGAGGTACAAGGGACAATGACAAACCTATGTGGAGCAAGTTGATCATATAGACCTTATCAAATATTGTGCTGGTGCATATTTGTGACAATAGTGTCATTGGAGAAGATCTTTCATATTGATCAGGTGATAACTTTCTTTCAAAAGGGGAGTCGAAGAATTATTGGATCTTCTTCAGAGATATATTCTGCAGCCTTCACCAAAAAGGTTTTATTTGTCTCAGTTGAGGCCCAGAACACTGTGATGACTTTGCAAGTTTTCTCTTACAGGGCTAATAGACCATCCCAAAAATATCAAGGCATTCTGGGCCGGAAATGGCAACGTTATTCAAGTTACTTGGAATTCTCCAAATCATGAATTCAGAGATTTCTTCAGGTATCAAGTCCAATATTGGCCAGAGAACTCTACACACACATACGACCAGGTAAGAATTTTGTGTAGGTTTGTAGTTGTTGTTTTTGCCTAATTTGAAGAAAAATTTACCAATTGTTTAACGTTGAATGTTTTGTATTTCTTGACAGATCATAAATTCAGAAGATCTACCGTGCCGCCTTAAAAATCTCCAGTATGATCTCTTTTACCATCTTCATGTCCGTACTCAGGTCAATGAAGGAGATGATAGCTTCTGGGGTCCATGGTCAGAAACTATCACCTTCTTCTCCTTGGCTTCTCCAGGTAGCGATCATTAGTCTTATTACTTGAGTAGGAAGATGTATTGTAGCAGGCTGGCCGGGTCTTGGGTCATAAACAACAGAAACAGTTCTTTCTTCCAATATGAGGAAATCTTTATTTAGCAAGCAGGCCCCAATTGAGCCACAGCAAAACATTGAACTAAAATAATCTCCTAGTCCACACTGGAGACTAACTAACATAGAGTACCCTTTATATGCTACTGGACAGCTAAGCTGACCCCAGTAGTTTAACAAATAAAAATAAAGACTTGCAAAATACCTTTTTGTTCCCACACAGTTTCAGCAGTCTTTTTGACTCACAGTCTCTTTTTCTCCGCCCCAGCTCTTCACAGGAGAGACTGGTTTCCCTCTGCATAGGGTTTATGTAGCTCCCTAATTGATGGACTAGAGCAACCTGATTTTTAACCACCTCTAGTCAGGGAACACTGAAAGTGCCATTCTGGGGCTAATATCGCAGTGTTCCCTCACACTGTCACAATATGCATTCAAAAGCAGTATTTAAAGGATAACTGCTTATTATAAAATGTTTTATTTTAATAAGTGGCTCGATTTAATAGTGTACATATTATACTATTATTACTTTCAAAGTTGCGACAATATTAGATGTCAGACCAGCTCGATTACCAATGTATTATAAATTAGACAACATGGAGGTGCAGCAGCCGGGAGAAGTAGTGTCAGGGTTGGAATCATTCATTCAAGTTCTTTCCACAGAGTATAATGGGAGATGAGGATTCAGTTCCCCATATTTTTTTACTGATATAGGTGACTTTAAGTAGAAGTTACAATTTAAAAACATATTTTTATGTGTGTACTGTTCCTCAATCTGTATTATGTTTACATTTTGATCAATACGGTAGCACCATTCCTGCAAAATGCATGTTCTGTGTCTTCCCCCATTTCCATTTCCTTTCCTAATTGGGAAATTGGCAAAAGTTAAATCGCTACAACTTGCAAAATGTAGCAACACGCATGTTAGCAAGTAGCAGCTGAATGATAAAAATGAACGGCATTGCATAGAGATCCACCAGCCTTCGCTTGCCTAGGACTGGTGTAAATACAAATTCTCTATCGCCATGTCCACGTTTACCTGTGGGAGCACTCCAACGCTCTCTGAGAGATTTTAATGCCAGTGTAACTGATTGAATACAGACATTAGCCAAAAGCCATTTTCGTGTAGCTTTTACCTGATGCTCTAATAGTGTAACTTTTACATTGACCTCTAATAAATCGCAGGGAGAATAATCAAATAAAACGTCTTAAAATAAAAACCCGCTATTGTTAAAGGTACTTCATAAAAAAAGAGACGTAAGAGACACGTAAAGCAGTCGTTTTTTTCTAGAAAAAATATTGGAACAAAATAAGTTCCATGGAGATAACTCCCATTTTATAATCTTGGCCGAGTGATGATGTTCTGTGACTGTTCACTGCTTGGAAGCCTTTTACTGATTTTAACGTAGTCCCAGTTGATGTTTATTTGGCCTGGGAGAAACAGGCGTGGGTCATGGCTACTGTATTTACATAATGCTACATCATGGCTTACATCCAATGATCTGTATTCACAGATAAAATCGAGCTGCGATGTGTCACTCCGGACCTGTTTTTGGTTTGCTGTAAATGGAATAAAGTGACAGAGTATCCACATGCTTTGCAACAACTATTCTATCACTATGGGTAAAATGACACCTTTAGAACAATCTACTAATGTAACTTACAATAAATACAGTAATAATATGTCACTTTTGTATTTTTATTTGGTTTTATAATTATGTTTTTTTGCTATCTGCACTCTTGTATAGTTTGAAACATTGTCTGTAGACCATTGTAAGGTGAGTTCAATTCAGCTCGTCAGAACGCATCAGTTGAGTTTTATTAATTTTCTATAACGGATAGCATTGATTGATTGCCTTAAAACAACTGTTATCAACCCACACTCGTTCAAAAGCCAGTTGGCTATTTAGATTTTAGGAATTGACCCGTTTTTCTAAAAACTAATTTACATTTGTAAGACAAGCCATAGTTCAATCCATGTCATTTCCAGCAGTGTTAGGGCCAATGGTGACCAAGAATTAATTTATTATTAGAGCAATCCTTCTCAGTCCATGAAAATAATGAAATTTTTCTGATGGCAGGGAACACAACTGGCAACTCTGTGAGCGTAATATTAATATGACAGACTGTAACTGTGTGTTTATGGCAAAAAATGACTCCCAGCTATCTATAATCGTCAATATATCATCTGCTGACCACCTATTGCAAGTCTTCTTCAAGGAGCCCTTCTGGATAAACCACGTCGGTAAGGCCTGGCTTATAGCCATACCTGATCTCTGGGGACAGCAGGCATTTTATGAAATATGGCATGCTAGACCTCAGTTTCCTAAACAAAGCATCTGGGATTTTACATTTTTTTCATATCTTTCTTTTCAAACTAGTGTCTCCACCACCCCCAGATCTCCACCTTCAGCAGGTGCCAGGTGGTAAGCTTGCCTTGAACTGGACACTCCCCGTGTCAGGATTAGAACAGGATATGATTTATGAGATCCGCTTCTCAAAGGATGCAGGCACAACATGGAAGGTAAATGAGAAGAGACAGGGTGGAATGGGTAGAGAAGGTGGAATGTTATAAGAAAGAATAAAGGAAAGGATTACAAAGCACGGGGAGAAATTGAAAGGGAATAGGTAGGAAAGGGAAAGGAAAGACAGTGGGTAAAAGGGGAAATGGAATGAGAATAAATGGAAAACTAATGTTCTGGAAAAGAAAGGACAGCGGAAAATAATGAAAAAGATAGGGAAGTGATGGGGAAGGATCGGGTTACAAAGGGAAAGAAGCAAAAGGAAGATCAGAGTAAAACATGATAGAAGAAAAGGATGAAAGTAAGGAATGAAGGAGAAAAAGAAGAATTAATTAAAAGGGGCAGATGGTGGAAGAAAAGAACAAGAAAAGAAAGTTGATCTAGATCCTAGAGAGATACAACAAAGGTAATGGAGGGCAGAGCTTTAATGCTATTTATTCTGTCAGACCCTGCAGATTCCACGTGGAGTGTCCCATGAAGTTCTTGACTTAATGCCCGGCTCCCGATATTCCCTGCAGATCCGATCATGTCCCAGTGGAGACAGGATACAGGGATTCTGGAGCTCATGGTCCGAAGCAGCGAGCATTACTCTTCCTTCCAGCAAAGGTGAGACAATGGGAACCTTTTTTTTTTTTGGGAACCTTAATAGTCACATAAAGCAGAAACAAAAGTAAAATTCATGCCATGAGAGCAATATCCTGCTTGGGTACAGGTGTGTTCTTATCATGGGGTCAGTCAAACCTGTGATCCAACAGGGAAAGAACTTCATGTCTGCTCTAAGTGGAACTGCTGGCAAATTATTATTAGATATGAGTAGGATAGTGAACATTATTAAAGCAAAAAGTAAGATGCTTTGAAGGAGTGCTCCAAATACATTAACAATTCCTTCTCAACTCCCGAAATGCAGTCAAATCTCTCCTTGGATCAAGAACCTCATAAATTAAAAATTATATCCCTGAATATTATGCTTTCGCAAGTATTCATCCAGTTGCTGTCTAAACATCTGTACATGTTTTGATAGAACCACCTCTTCAGGCAGAGAATTCCACATCCGTATTGTTCTTACAGTAAAAAAAAGCGCTCCATTCCTTTTAGCAATTTTGAAGCTTATCTCTGCACTTTTGCTAGTGCCATGATATCCTTCTTTAGAACAGGTGCCCAAAATTGCACAGCATATTTAAGGTGTGGTCTTACCAGCGATTTATAAAGAGGCAAAATTATATTCTCGTCCCAAGAATTTATGCCCCTATTTATACATGACAAGATCTTACTGGCCTTAGCAACTGCAGATTGACATTGCATATTGTTGTCTAATTTGTTGTCTATAACAATTCCCAAATCCTTCTCGTGTGTGGTTATTCCTAACTCAATAGCTTGGCCAGTAGGATAACCTCCTGGTTAAACGCTTTGGTATTATTATGGGTGTAAATTGCTTGTGTGTTCTTTACCCAGATGTGCATAACTTTGTATTTCTCCATGTTAAATTTCATCTGCCATTTTAGTGCCCAGTCCCCCAGTCTATCCAAATCCCTCTGCAGAAAAGCAATGTCCTGCACAACAACGTACATGCAGATTTGATTTGTCGGTATATTTACTGAACTGTTATTTTTTGATGTATTACTTTAACAGTGATGCAGCAGACTGAATAGCATGGCTTAATGCGGATGTACAATGGGTTAGATGGATATATGAGTTACTGAACCTTATTTTTCAGGCTGGTTAATCACCACCATTGTCCTGGTCTTGCTATCAGTCCCCGGGGCTGTGCTGTGTATTTACTGTGTCTTACGCCCATTCTACAGGTAAGTAAATAGCAGCAAAAATGTCCCTAATACAATAGTGCACTGTGTTTCTAAATCCAGATCTCCAAATCTTTATTGTTGATGAGTTACAAACCGATGTTATAGTTACTAACTTTATAGGATCTTGTATGGAGAATGCATGATAGTTACAAGAACTGTGTAAAGTGAATCATTAAATATCAAAGGAGGTTTTTCATTAAACTGTGAAATGACCAAACTGCCCTATGGATGGGACAATTAAATCAATCAACCAATAGAAAGTAACTGAATTATTTTCGACAATGCTAGAACTAGTGTAGCACATGGGATCTCCATTGAGATGTTATAGTTGTGGCCCCTGCATCATGCTATGATTGTTTTATCTTGGATTCATTGATTGTAGAGTATCCAAGAATCCTGCTCTCATCGCAGTGGCCTGTCATGTAATGGATTCTTGTGTATTTCCTTGTTTTCAGGAAACTGAAGGACATTCTTTGGCCACCTCTACCCAATCTGCATCATGTGCTGGACACGTTCCTCACTGAAATCCAGAAACAGTACAAGGTGAACCTAATATTCAATCAGTCATGGGAAAGGGCCCCATAACAACACAACTTTAAAGGAACACTATAGTGTTAGGAATATAAATAATGTTCTACTAACTAGTTAAGACAGGCTCCCCCACCTCTCCTGTTTGGAATAAACTTACAGTTCTCTGTGCAGTCGCCCCACCTCCCAGGCTGAGATGATCAATCCTGATTAATTCAGTTTATGCAACGCTTCCCCCATGCATCTCTAAGGGAAACTTTAATTGTCTACATGCAGAGACACTGAATGTCGGTCCTTCAATCTTCACCAAGAAAAAAGCTTCAGGCCCTCATTGTGTTCACATTCAAAGCAGTTTATTGGACCATTATATGCACAGCAACGTTTCGACCTCCACTAAGGTCTTTGTCCAGCTTGAGGAGGTCAGTGGAGGTTGAATTGTTGCTGTGTACATGATAGTACAATAAACTGCTTTGAATTTGAACACAGTGAGTGCCTGAAGCCTTTTCCTTGGTATATACTACATGTATGGGGTGTGCTAGCCCTGGCTCAGTTACGTACCATGTTGTTATCTGGAAGAGTGCAATCACTCTTCTAGAGTCCTGTAAACTTTGTGAGACTGAATACAGGAAGTCCCTCTAGTGGCTGTCGGAGTGATTGTCCGAGAGACAGTCTAAGAAAAGGCTAATAGTGACCCTGCAAGGTCAGACTATATGCCCCAAACCATAAAATTAAACTGTAGTGGTTGTGGTGACTATAGTGTCTCTATAAACATAATTGGCAACTGTCCAAGAACAGCGTCATTAATGCACATGGGGAGCGAAGTGGAGCTGTCTGGTCCAATCACACAGAAGAGCTACTGTAGCTCAAATTCAAGAAAAACCTAATGTTGACCATGATAGAAATGTGTCAGTTAACACAGTGCATTGTAAGGATGTGCATGGGAAAAATATTCGGTTTGGTTCAACATTTCGAAATTCGGAACTTCAGAACTTCGGTTCGGCACTTCGGAACTTCAGGACTTCGGGTAAGTGTAGGTTAGAGGTAGGATAGGGTTAGGGTAGGGTTAGAGGTAGGGTTAGCGTAGGATTAGGGGTAGTGTTAGAGGTAGGGTTAGGGTTAGTTTAGGAGTAGGGTTAGGTGTAGGAGCGAAGTGGAGCCTGTCTGGTCCAATCACACAGAAGAGCTACTGTAGCTCAAATTCATGAAAAACCTAATGTTGACCATGATAGAAAGGTGTCAGGAAACACAGTGCATTGTAAGGATGTGCATGGGAAAAATATTCGGTTTGGTTCAGCATTTCAAAATTCAGAACTTCAGAACTTCGGCACTTCGGTGCGGATCGGCACTTCGGAACTTCAGGACTTCTGGTACGTGTAGGTTAGGGGTAGGATAGGGTTAGGGTAGGGTTAGAGGTAGGGTTAGGGTAGGATTAGGGGTAGTGTTAGAGGTAGGGTTAGGGTTAGTTTAGGTGTAGGATTAGGTTGGGGTAGGGTTATGAATAGGGTTAGGGTTACACTACCCCTACCTTAACCCTACTCCAACTACTAACCCTACTCCAACCACTAACCCTACTGCAACCCTTAACCCCACCCCTAGCCCAACCCCTAACCCTACCCCAACCCTTAACGCTACCCCTAAACCTAACCCTTCCTCTACTCCAACCCCTAACCTTACTCAAACCACTAACCCTACCCCTACCACTAACCCTACTCCAACCCTTAACCCTACCCCTAACCCTACCTCTACCCACACCATTAACCCTACCTAACCATACTCCAACCCATTACCCTACCCTAACCCATAGCCCCAACCCTTGCTACTTTTCAAAAATCCGAAGCACTTCAGCACTTCCGAAATGGGGCACTTCCGAAATTCGGCACTTTGGAACTTTGCCAATTTGATTCGGTTCGGCATTCCGAAATTCGGCACTTTGGAAATTTGGCACTTCAGACATTTGGAAGCATCCGAATGTCAGATTTTCCTAAATTTGTCCGAATTTGCATTCGGAACAAAATTAATTTAACATGTCTAGTGCATTGTAGTTTGTTGAATGTTGGGCTGAGAAGCTGCAGACTGTTTAGAGTGCCCATGATGACCCTTGTTCAACATCAAAAGTGCCTTCAATGGGTATGTGAGCTTTAAAACTGGACCACGGAGCAAAGGAAAAAGGTTGTCTGTCCTGATGAATGACGCTTTCTTTCAGATAAGGGAGATGGATGGGCACATGCATTGTTTACTTAGGAATAGATGGCAGCAGGATTCACTATGAGAAAAAGCCAGACCGGCAGATAGAGTGTTATGCTCTGGTAAATGTTCTTCTGAGAATCCTTGGGTTCTGGCATTCATGTTGATGTTACTTTGACATGTACCACCAACCTAGAGATTGTTGCAGACCACGTACACCTCTTCATGGCAAAGGTATTTCCCAATGTCCGTGGCCACTTTCAGCAGGGTAATACACCCTGCCACTCTGCAAATATTGTCCAGGAATGGTTTTGAGGAACATGACAAAGAGTTCAAGGTGTTGCCTCTTCCTCCAAATTCCCCAGATCCCAATCCAATTGCGCATATGTGGAATGTGCTGGAATATCAAATCCGATCCATGGAGCCCAAACCTTGCAACTTGCAGGACTTAAAGGATCTGTTTTTTAATGTCTTGGTGCCAGATACCACAGTACACTTTCAGAGGTCTTGTGGAGTCCATGCCTTGATACATCAGAGCTGTTTTGGCATCATTAAGGAGAACCTGCACAATTTTAGGCAGCTGGTTTTAGTGTTGTGGCTGATCAGTATGTATGTAATATCTGCAATCTACGCAAGATGGCACTCTTGAGCTTGTTCACACTCTTATAATTTACCAAACTCTTATAATTTACCAAGCAGGCTGCTACCAGGCAGATTTTTGATTCTTGTTGCTCCTCTCACACCTTGTCCCTTTGCTGATGACTTTATTAGCTTCTTACCATTTAAGATTAAATCCAAGAAACTAACACTCAAATACAAAGCCCATAAGAACTCTCCCCCTCACTACATTTCTGCATTAATTCAGAGGTACACACCGCTCTGCCTGTGACCTTCTCCTGTCCACTGCTCGTACCCGTACTGCTAACTCCCGTTTTAAGGACTTCTCACAGCCAGCTCCATATCTCGACACACAAGTCATTTAATGTAATTAGAAAGATTTTTGTAATCCTAATGTTTTAGAGTGAGAGGGGTTAGATGGGGATATAATAGAATACAACATACAGTATATTCAATAATAGCTATACAAAATAAGCTAAAATGTATCAGCACATCTGCAACATTATTGTCTTTTTGTGTCTTTAGACAAACCCAACGTTCTACGAGAAGCCAACAGAGGACGTTTTTCAGCCATCTTGTCTTGAGATTTTGGGGGAAGAAGCCATTTCACCTGAAATTCTGCATATATCTCGTGATTACGTGCAGCTGTCCCCCCCAAGGTATCAGAATGAGGATTACTGGCCTAAACTCAGCCCAAACATTAGCAATGCTTCTTGTCACCAACCCACCAATGCCATCTCCAATCAGACATACCTCACTACAGGCTGGAATCTGTAGCTACATGGCTTTAAAGGGGAATCGTTATGGGCGTTACTTCCTTTATTCTTTATTTAATTAAAGGGATATTCCAATAACAAATGGTGCAAGAATACAGAGGATCACACAGCGGATCCCATTATATATTTCTATTGGTTTTAACAGAATATATATATATAAATAAACAAATTTCTGCAAAGCACCTCCCATTAATAGCACCTCTGTCGTAGCACCTTGTAGCATCATTTCCCAGGTACAATCATCTTTCTTTCCATTATGTTACATAGTAATCCGGTAGCAAATCCCCACTAATCCCTATTAAAAATCACCATCAAGGTGGGTCATCGTGTCTGTGCAGGTTATAAAAGGTGGGTCGTAACAGATATACGTCCACTGGAAGCACACAGATCCACATTTTATGTAATAATACAAAGCAAATTATTGATTAATTTATAAATTATTTACAGTAATAGTGCATGAGATACCTCAGCCTTATTTTTTGTTTTATTGCTGACTTTACTAACACATGAAACAGTGTAACAGGATTCGTCCTGTAAATATGCATTTTAGAAACATTATGTTTCAGTATTATATGCTTTAATGGATATATATATTAAATTATGCACAAATTAAGAAAATGGGAAGATTTAAGGAATTTGAAGCATATAATCATGCTCTTGGTTCCCACTGGGAGTCTGATTAGTCAGAGGGCGCTGTGGACGTCTTCTGAATATGGCCTAGTTTGTGCCGATGATCAGTTATTCTCCGACACGATCCATCCACACCAGGTCTTTCCATGTGGACTATGTTATCTCCTGGGGAGGGCACGGGATGCAAATCTGAAATGTCTCGTACTAGAGACATCTGGAACTCAATATATACCTCATATCCAATGCCTTTCAGCCTCAAACTGATTTATAAAGGGTTTTGTTTATATTACTATGAAATTAAACGGTATTAAAAGCTATTGTATTCACATTTATGCTTGTTTTACTATTCACAGTTATTCTCTAAAAATATCTGTAAATAGCGTGTTTAAAGTATTTTTTAGTTATTCCTTTTGGAGACATTTTAATTGGATCTATGAAAATTAATAAACTACAGACTCTTCTATTAAACAGCGAGTGGATTGCTTTTTTCCACATGAACAAATCTCAAGAATAACTTGTTAAACTCACTTTCATTCCTACTTTGGGGCAACCGACATCTAAACTCAGTAAATGTCCCTACAAGTCAATGGCCGCTCAAGGATTCATATTGAAGGGGGCACATGATGGGCCAGGGACAAAAGTAGGGGGGCAGTTATAAACCGTGTGTATATGTGTGTGAGTGTACATATATATATATATACACACAGGACTCGACAAATCCCAGGTGCCAGGTCGCCATTGTGTAGCGAACCCTGTGGTATATTACCAAACTCTATAAATTATGTATGCATACACATATAAACACTGGTCCATCTGAATATTTATTCAGAGACAAAAAACAACAACATACAAATAATGACACACAATCTAACTAACTATACCAACAACAACAGCAATCTAACGAACAATAACAACTAAATCTTATAAAGTCACCAGATCACACTCACAGTTCACCATTACCAAAATTAGCCCATGTCTGCTCAGTAGCACAGCCAGAAGGAACAGGGAGGAATGGAGATAGGGGGAAGTAGTTATCTCTTTCCTGACTTGTAAAGGTATTGAATTACCCAATTACCATATCAAACGGTAAAGCTTATCCCCCTGTAAGAAAGGCATACATGAGCTTGGTCACATGACCCCTGGTCACCATATTAGTTTGATGACAAAACGTCACAACAGACCCCGGGTAACCCAACCGGTTACCTCAACTTCAGCCGTTTAGGAGCCACTTAGAATATAGAGACCCATTTCCCCCCAGTGACTGGACGACACACAGCTCTGGAGGTACAACACTGACTGAACTCTGTTTATTTTGTCACACATGGTTTTACATTCACAGATCCCTACATGGGGTCTCCAACAGAAAACAACAGGGGCTTTAATCCCAAGACGCCAAAGGGGGATGGAAAAGGGAGAAAGCAGCCAGTTCCAACTGGGCTGGCAGTGTCCCTGTGGCAACGCCCTGCTGTGACAGGAAGAGGGAGGGGGAGAGGCACAGACAAGCAATACATTTCACTTAACTATACTTTACAGAGCTGATGCTCCCCCCCTTTGTTGACCCACAGCTGCATATACAGGCACATGTAAAACTGTCCCAAAAATGGTCCTGCAAGCTTGTGGCCCGCGCCAAACAAATAAGGCCATCCATCACATATCTCTCCCCCATAGAAATAGACAGCGGGCACATGGGGATATGTCACTCAGTGACAGCGTTACGTCACACATGGCAACTAGATATTTTGCCCAGGGATTTTTCAGTCTTTTAGCTAACTAAGTCATGCAGAAAACACTAAAGCCAGCCACTGCGGGGAGCATGAGGCGGTGCGCAAGGGAGCAGTAACCTTCCTGCAGTTCCTCTCTGCTTCCTTGCATGGTGTTTAGTGACATGACATAACTCCGGCCCTGGAATCACTACAGAGAGTTTGTAGGGGAGCAGAGATGAACTGCAGGAAGATTAGAGAGGAGCCCCAGTGAATGCAAGGGAAAGATCCATTCAGCTCTCTGAAAGGTAGGAAGGCTGGGTGGATTTAAAAAAAATGTGTATATATAGCAATTTGTGAGTGTGTGAGAAAGTGTGTGTGTCTCAGTGTGTGTGTGTGTGTGTGTGTGTGTGTGTCAGTCAGTGTCTGTTTAGATACCTGCCTCCTCTGATTACATAAGAAAGGTGTTCTACTCACCTTTTTTCCCACGCCGTGCCAGTTTTGTCATGGCTGGATCTGCCTCCATGGCGGAGATTGTCAATGACAAGACAAGCTCACTGACACACACATACAAGTTCAGTGCAGACAAGCTCATTGATACACATATAAGCTCATTACAGACAAGCTCACTGACACATACAAGCTCACTACAGACAAGCTCACTGACACACTTGTTCACAACAGACAATCTCACTGACACACATACAGTATAAGGGGGGTGGAGACGGGGGAGGGGCAAGCTCAGAACAGAGAAGCTATGTAATGTTGATAATTCACAAAATATAAAAGTGACGCATGATATTAAATTTATGCTTACTAATGCAAGGAGCCTAAATAACAAAAAGGGGGAACTAGAGGCATTAGCATACACTAAACAATATGATATAATAGGCATAACTGAAACATAGTGGGATGAGACACATGACTGGGCAGTTAAATTAAATGGGTACATGTTATTTAGGAAGGATAGAAAAAACAAGAAGGGTGGTGGCGTATGTTTGTATGTCAACCATGATTTAAAGCCAAATCTTAAGCAAATGGAATGCAATGAGGAAAATGTGGCAGCTTTATGGGTAAATATCGGCTTGGGGGAAAAGAAGGGAAACCAACTATTGGTAGGTGAGCACTTGGGAAATAGTGATCACAATATAGTGTCCTTTGCAATAAACTAAAAAAATAACAAAAGCACATGGGGAATACTAAAATATATAATTTTAAAAAGGCCAATTTCTATAAGTTAAGGGTAGCTTTACAATATATTGACTGGCATAAACTCTTTAGTGAAAAGAACACTGAGGATAAATGGATCATCTTCCAACAAATATTAAAAAGGTACATTTCTCAGTATGTACCGTTGGGAAATAAATATAAAAGAAACAAATTAAAACCAATGTGGCTTAGTAGAGAAGTAAAACAAGAGATTAAAAATGAGAAAAGGGCATTTAAAGCATTTAAATCGGACAAATCAGATGCATCTTATAAAAGATATAAGGAAGCAAATAATGCGTGCAAAAAGGCAATTAGACTTGCTAAACTTCAAAATGAAAAAATGATAGCTAATGAGAGCAAAACCAACCCCAAAGCATTTTTTAAGTACATAAATTCTAAAAAATAAAATAAAAATGAAAGTGTAGGTACACTAAAAACTGAAATGGGTGTGTTAGTTAATGAAGACCAGGAAAAGGCAGGAATTTTAAATAACTATTTCTCCTCTGTATATATTAAGGAAGAACCCATGGCAATAGATGTGCAAATGATTGCTACTAAAAACTTGCAGAATAATTGTAATTGGTTAACTCAAGACAAGGTGCTGCAGCAACTAAAGAAAGTTAATATAAACAAAGCTCCAGGGCCTGACGGTATCCATCCACGTGTACTTAAGGAACTAAGTGTAGAAATAAGTGAACCTCTGTTTTTAAACTTGGATTATGGCCCCATGTTAAAAGGCTTGATTTTCCCCTGCAAAGACAAGAAAGCCAGGTCATTTGGTGCTTGCCCTGTTTGAGCAGTGATACCCCAGATAGCTATGCCATGGAGCCCATTCGTATAATGAAAGACTATGGGAAAGACTTTGGCTCCATGGCAACTGAACTGTATGTGTGTGCTCTGACCTAAGCTATCTGGGCATATGTTGCATGTCTGTATTTTATGTCATAAATGTAACCTTGTGTATTTTATTGTATTTTACTGTCTTTTTGCTGCCATGTGTTCATTGGAGTTTTGCCTCTGTCTTTGGAGATAAATGGATTACTTCACAATTATCTCCAGGATAGAAGACTCTGTGGAACTGGTTTTGGGCAGAAAAGCCATGCTTCCTGTGGTCACAAAGGACTACGATCTATCTTTTGAACCACTGGACCAATTTGTATGATTTTGACGTATGTTTGTATTTGGAGTATGCTGATTCTGAAAATGTAAGTGAAAATGTATGTGAATGTGATGCATACTTTTCAAGTTATGAATAATGTGGAAAAAATTTATTTCTCTGCTTGTGCTAAATTACATTACCCATTGTGTAAGGTAATTGAATCACAAGCAGAGGGGAGGAATTTGTGTGGGAGTGTCTGAGTGTATTGTATGTGTTTATTGGTTGTGTTCCAAAACCCTGTGGGTGGTACTAATGTGTAAGAATGTGTACATAAGCACAATAAACCCACAGCTCTGACTGTTC